AAGAAACGCCTGTAGTTTCTGGGAATAAACAGCTATTCTTGTGACTCCCTTATCTATTCCAGAACTGGATTCACGTGTTAAGACATGGAGATAAGCGGTCAAAAAGAACTTGACAGTTCAATCAGCTGCACATTTGTTAGAAAAACAAATCTTCTGCTCTGCTACAGTGTTTTATGCTCAAAAAAATCAAAATGCAATACCACTGTCTGCATCAGAGAGGATCCATCTGCACAGTACACTCGTGATGTTGATATGTAATTTAAACAGTAATTATTCCTCACCTATGCCCCTTTCCACCTAGTTCACACCACATGTATTGGTCATGCCAACACTGTGCATAGAGCTGTGCTATAAATGAAATCTCTGAAATTAACTGATTTAGAGGACGCACATGGTACTAGGATGCTCTGCTAGGTTCATTGCTCTTCTTTTTACTGGATCTTTTGAATGATCCCTTTAGAAAGAAGGTCTGTATAAACATAACTGAGTGGAGCTAAAGACTACTGCACAAGGACAGAAGCAAGCATTTCAGAAAACATGTTTTCGAAAAAGGAAAATGCCTCACCAACCTGTGTTCTCAGGTCCATGAACAGAGTGCAATAACTTCCAGCAGAAATGCAGCATTCTTCAAGTTTTCAAGGAATGAGGCTGCACAGTGGGAGAAGAGTAGAGGTGGGAAGAAGAAAGAAAAGAAAGGAGAAGAAGAAAAAAAAAAGCTGGAATTCCATGGCTTCTTTTCCCTATTAATCTCATCACATTATATAACATTCACCTGACCTTATTTGCTTTATTCCTACCAACCAGAAAGCAAGAGGTTCCAAGCTAGATAAGCAAATACAAAATGGAAATAAAGCAATCCCAAGTCTAAACAAAATAACCACAAAATGAGCCCCTGGAACAGCATGCATTCCAGTCTAGGAACAAAGAATTTAATTCAGCACTGGGCTTCACATTAAAAGCAGACTAAAGACTAAGGAAGGTCTACCACAGAAAAGTGACTTAACACATTTTCCTTTCTAAGCATGTAACCTTTGTTTACAAATTTGCAGCTGTGGGGCTCAGCAGCATAATCAAGTATGCCTGATTTTAATTAAGGGAGTAAAATTTGCATATGCTAACTCCTCTCTTACTAATGTTAATGCCTTGGTAATGCCAACAGTATTGAAAGAAATAAGAAAACAAGAAAAGGAGAAACAACAAAAAGAAGTAATCAATTTTGTTTTGCTAAAATAAGGGAAAGAGCAGAGATTACAATATAAAATGCTTCCAGCTAAAATGCACTGAAAGTCCAATCTGGCTTTTATCCAAAAAGGTGCTTTCATGGCTAATATGGGATCCTCACCCTGTCACAGCATCAAAGATAAATACCTCAAGATGTGGCCTTGTCACTCTGTAGGAAAGTCAGGCACAGGTGAAAAGTCTTGTGGTCTTCAATAACTGCTGTTTATAAAAGTGCCTCTGTCCCCAGAACCTAGAGATGCTTCTGGTTTTGGAAGTAAACCTCTGCACCTTAGACATTTCTAAGATGTTACAGTTTTGCTTTTGGATCACTAAGAAACATGCAGATCCTCAGTGGGGAATGCTGAAAAGAATCAGTGAAAGGCAAAGCTCAAAAGCTGTCTCAAAAATACATTATATTCTTTGTGTTTAAGTTAGTGTCATTGAGATGTTTATAGATAAACCAGAAAAATAAATATTTCAAGCAGAGACTACTGGAGACTGGAGGGAATTGGATTTCTTTCATGCCAGTTTAACTGTAAGCTCCTCCAGGAGTCCTTGGACAGTGGCATAATTCCCACCTTCTCATCTCCAGGAGGTTTTCGTTTTTAAAGAGTGAGACAGAAGCCTGGCACAATGTAAAACTGCTTGGAGCAATACTAATATAATATATTGGATATTCTATTCAGGCACCTAAGAGACTTAGGAAACAAGTCCTCAAAGCACAGTCAAAAAGCATACCACGAAGATCACTATATCTGTATTAACATAGGAGCTGCAACATACTAGAAAATACTGTACAATGTAACAGGCTCCAGAGAAGCCACTGTGGTCCATTGAGTAAAATACACCCTTTCAGAATTACTGAAATACAAATTCACACGATAGGCCAAAAAAACAGACTTAGTCTATTGAATAAACATTGCAGTAAGCTTCAGAGCCATTATGGTCTACTGAGTAAATAACAAAAAGTATTAAAATGGTCCAGACATGTATTTTCACAATGTGACAGAATTGCTTCAGAGGAAATTCTTGTGTCAATTCTCTGGTCTATCCATGAGGGATTTCCTTTCTTTTCCTCTTTGTTTCACTGTTTAGCCTATTCCATATATATTTGCATAATGATGTACAGTTCTTTCTAGTCCCTAGACAGAAGTTATAACAATCCTTTTATAAATTCACCCCACACTAAAGCTGTTTATTTGTTATAGTTTTAGGCATTAGCCTCAGTGACTATTTTAACAGAGTTGAGAGAGGGAAAAATGAAAGGCGATGATGAGAGAGGCAAAGATATTTTCTAGCAAATTGGGAACAGTTGAAATGGTCTCTCTCTGCCTATTTCAGAATATAGCTTTCCCTTTCTTTGATGTTCTGTTTCACTATTTGACTCTTTTTTCCTAAACAAAAACTGGAAGAAAACCTTTTCATAACACTCCATTCTGTTTCATGATGGAGAGAAAAACTGTCTTGATCCCTGTCCATTGCTAGGCTCACTCACAATTTTATTTCATCCTGTGACTTCAAAGGGCTTACAGAGAATTAAAATAATCAGGATTCTGATTCACCTTCTCTGTGAAATACAATAAATTAGGACCGTGCAAAGAATTGATTCCCACTGTCTGTTAACAAGAAGTTTGTTTTTAATTATCTAGGATCTGACTACTGATAATTGACAGATAAGTTAACAGGGCTACATTTTGTTCTCACATCTCTAAATCAGAAGATACTTGTCTGGATGACACAACTGCAACTGTGAGTGGAATATTAGCACGTGAAATGCTTTTACGGCCCGTGCCAAGAGTTGTGCTGAGAATTTCCTCAAGGAGGTGCTCCTGATTCTTTCCTAGTTCCACAAAAAGCAGCTGGCTGGATCCGGGGAGAGCCACTGCACTGAACAAGTTGGGTAACCCTGCTCTCCAGGGAGGCAGACAGGAGCTCCAGTACCTATGCATAGAGCTGCACAGAAAAAAAAGCTAACAATATCTATTTCAAGCAGCTCTAGTAAGACAGCTTTCCAGCAATTACCAGATCCATTTTATAGAATATTTAGAAGGATTACTGACATGGAAAACAATACTTTAATATCAAAAGAAATAGTGATTTTGAAAAGAAAGCAGAAACAATTTCTGGGATCACACCTACTGGTAACTTTGCAGATTCTTTTACTGATAAATGATTTATCAATGTCTCTAGGGTTTCTCAACACAGAAGCAATGGTAAACTCTCTTTAGCTCTGTGGTAAAGTAAAACAGTCCAAGGTGCTTAACCAGCTATAAAGTGAGGTTGTAAATTATTAATGAGCATCTGTGGGCTTTTTATTTTAATACCTTGTTACAAATAACACAGTGATTTGCAACATTTACTAACATGGTTACTTTTCTAACGAAGAAATCAAAGACTTGGTGATTCCTATGAAGAGGATAGGTGTTTTGTCAGATGAGAGAGGATCAAAGTCGTTATGGAGGAAGGCGTGCATTCATACATTTCTATATTACAGCTAAGCAAATGATTTAAGGCTATCTGTCATGACAGTGTGGTGGCAGTTCCACCTATGTGCCAAGTCTATCAAACCACAGTTTTTCTCAAGACTAAAAATTGAATTAGTTCTTCCACAGACAGCAGCTTAATTTAGCAGAACTCCTGCTTTGCTCTTGACTGAACCACAGTCCGAGGAGACTTACTGAATTCAAATGAAAATGTCTACTTGGGCCCATCTGTGCTTGAAGCTGAGTTTGCAAGGCTCTGATGAGGAAGAAGTAAATATGCAAGACAGCTCGCTGAAGAGAGTGACATGCTTGCATATGCCCTCCAAAGCCCTGAAGTCTTCCACAGGGGAAAACTGGGAGGAAGATACACCATGGCGATCTTCTTCATGCTTATAACTGGATGGCGTGACAAAGTATTTGGTGCATAACTGTGTACATGGGGCTGTGCACTTACTCACTCACTCACCTATGATGAGCTAAGAAATGCCAAGAGAGAACTACTGTTGCCAGCAGCATTTCAGTGCCACATCCAAAGAAAGTGAAGCTGTGCTGGCAGGCTGCCCTGTCCTCAGCCGATGCACTGAACTCAGCCAGCCTAAGTTGAGCCACACAAGAATCCAGGAGAATACATCTCTTCATCTTGGTCTGGCAACTTGCATATTAAAACAAACAAACAAACAAACAAGCAAACAAAACAGTTCAGTATTTCACATACGTTTGTCACCTGGCTAAACAACACTTTATTTGGAAGAATCTAAATCAGGCCTCTTAAGCAGAACATACGCCAATACTGTGTTCATTAATGAACAGTTATTACTATACACTGTCATCAGTTTCCAAGGAAATCGACCCAATAATGCAGCTATCTCTATTCAGCATGTCCCAATTAAGCATACAGTAATAATATTCTACATACATATATGCCATTCATTCTCAAGCACTTCAAAGATTATACAGTACACAGATACCACTGTGATTAGTGTATTATGAATGTTCCCATGTAGTCACACTGAACCACAGCAGCTTTGCAAGTGGAAGGTGGCAGCCAACTGGCATGCTGGTTTCTGAGCTACCGTGGATGAAGAAAAAATGCTGCAGTGTCCCTGACATAAACCCATGATATTAAAATAATGATGATGATGATGATGATGCAATTTTGAATTTTGAAATATCTCTTGGGCAGAAGGACATTTAGTTTTAAATCTAATCAGTATAAAACCATGTAATACAATGCACAGAGCTCAATCAATTTAATTTGAGAAAACAGTCAAGATTTCTATTCTATAAATCCATGGATCCTGAAGATTAAATATTTCAAAATCTGTTATTCGGACCACTAAGCTCTCTTTACCACTGACTGAATGGTGAATTATTGTTGAAGGCACTTTCATCCCTTTAGCAGCTAATTTCACTTTTATTTCCTCCTTCCATTGTAGGAAGTATTTCTGACTAATCACTTCATTTTTCTGGTTATAATTGCCCATTTTAGAAATGCAGAGTGTATTTCATCTTCAGCTACATCTTTTTTTTCTAAACATTATTGGGAATGAAAATTAGGTATTGAATACTTAGCTATTACCTTTTTCTATAACAGTTTTCAGCAATACCTTATAGACATACGCATCATCTTGTTTAATCCAGATGTAGTGTATATATATGCATATCCCCCTGTCTATGACAAAGCTCCTCCCTCAAAGTTTGCCTGGGATAAGCTCACTTTAAGCTCTTGAAGTAGCAGTAGTTTAATAATCAGATCAACTACTTTGTAAAAAACCCTTTCCACCTGCCCTATCAACTAACAGAGAAAAACTGCTTTTTTAGGTGGTCCTGTTGTCAGCTGGGGGCATACAAGGCCAGGTTGGATGGAGCCCTGGGCAGCCTGATCCTGTGGGGGGCAACCCTGCTCATGGTAGTGGGGCTGGAACTCAATCATCTTTAACATCCCTTCCAACCTAAGTCATTCTCTATAATTCCTTCCTCCCCTTCCCCTCCCCCCTCTGCTCACACAAGAAATCTAGGGTTTTTTGTTTTTTGTTTTGTTTTGTTTTGTGTTTTTTTTTCAAGTCAAGGACACTATGAGTCTTTGCAGACCTACTGGTTTCTGTTAGAGATGTCAGTATTCAATTCTTCCAAATTTCTGCTGCATTTTGCATGTCCTCTGAAAATACCATGAGTAAAGTGCCATATTTTAAAATGCTTTCATAGAGAGAAGTTCAGTCAGATCACGTCTCTTATTGCCATTCTCTTATTATTTAAAGATGGATGAAGAGGTATTCCTCAAACCTGCTAAAATAAAAATGTTACTTTTGAGAAGGACTAAGTTCAGAAAGCTGTTTAAGCCCCTGCTTAGCTCTGGCATATGCTTACCATTTGTTGCGCAAGGGACTTCATTCACTCTCACTTATCATGTTGTTGTGGAAAAGAGACATTTCTCAGAATTGAAGCTGAAGTACTGCGAAGTTTAGCCTCTGAGGTGAATGTTTTGGAAGGTTAATAGCCTGTGGAAATAGAGGAGCCCTATGTTATGTTTAGTACTCACTTTGGCTGAAAGATGAAATAGACTCACTTCACCTAGGCGCTGAAATGCAGCCACCTGTGGGGAGTAATGTGCCAGCTCTTTAGTGCAACAGTGCAAAACCATTTAAGCAGGAAGTGAAGCGCTATTCCTCAGTCCAAAGAGAGAGTGTTTGCCATTGTTGTTACAGAACAGTATGACATTTTTCTTTGGGTGGAAGGTGCTGTTTTTGCAGTGCTATATTTCAAAAGGATTTAGGTTGGGATACACAGAAAATGGGACTGTGCCACCGGTTAATCAATAGCTCAGCGCAGTAGACCAGCACTGGAGGAAACCAGCAGAGGCAGGAAGGAGGACAAAGGGAATGTTACTTAATGTGAGTGCTTACCTAGAAGGGTCAATTTTAACATTGAACCCCTAAAGGGAGACTCAAATTTCCTGCAATCAGATATCTTTAGCACTTTTGCAATAGATTGAAATCAATATGCAGTTTCTATACCACGAGTTTCTTTATTTTCTGGCAGAATTTACTCTCCTTACGTAAGTATGCGATTACCTCCCGTAAGTTCAAGTTTAACTTTGTTTGAAATTTCAACCAAGCCAAATCTATTCACTTTACAATTCACCTTTATGCTGCCAGAGTAGCATTGAAAAGAGAAAGTGAAAGTCTGAGAAAAAATCTGGAAGAGGGAAAGCAACAAAAATACTTTGCAGTTCTGAAGAAACCTTCAGACAGTAAATGAGAATAATTCTAATTCTCTGAGATGATTTTTTAAAGGAAACCACATATTACGTATGTTTATTGTAGTAGCTGTGGTATTCTCCTCCCCTCAGCTTCTCTTCCCCTAAGCTGAAGGAATTTAACTTCTCCAAATTCATATTGCCACCACAGCCAGCCATTGCCCTCCCAGCACACAGAAGAGGAGGCACTGGAGTGGTTTAAAAAGTGTAACAGTGCAAAATCAAAAGATTCTGTATTGGTAAAATCTTCCTACTCATTAGACACACTTTGGCCTGAAGGTGGCAACATTGAATAACATTCTAAGGAAAGAACCTTCACATATAGATACCTTTAATTAAAAGTTTATGTTTTTTAGCAATTATCCTCTCCCCCATAGTTTTTCACAATGTGTTGAGAAAGAAATAAGATGGGGGGTATTGTAAATTCTTCTGAAATAATCTTAACTGCACATTATGCAAATTTATTTGCAAATTAAAATTAAATCTAACAAACATACACTTTATGCCAAACCTTCCATCCCTTCAATGTAAAAGCTATTTTCAAAAAGGATACGCTGTGTGTCTCCTTTTGTAATATTATTATCAATAGATGCTCTTTACCCTGAATGTAAATCAGTGCTTTCAAACTGGACCTTGCCTTATGCTGAGTTATTTCACCTCCTTCTGTAAATGTTATGCTCTGGGAGGTGACACATTAACCAGGCAATAAGATGTGGTACTCTGGGACATGCATTGCATGGGGGAACAAGGCAAGCACCCTGCAGACCAGCAGGTGAAGCGCAGTGTCTTTATGTGAGATGGGCAGCTGATAGGCTTGTCCCAGAGCGTTCTGTGGAGAACACAAGGACAGAGGGATTTAAAATATTATTTCTAATTTCTTTAATAATAATAATAATAATAAAAATCAATCCCCTCCTACGAGTGGGTACTGAACTTCAACATTTGCAGATTTTCACAGTGTTCAGTGATTTTACCTTTGGCTTCAGTGCTTTCTGTTTATCCCACTGATTACTGTCCTTGTGGCTACATGAACAGAGGTATTTTACATGGAATCAAAACAACATTTTACACAGTCCTTGCTGGTAAAGGCCACACGTGCACTACTGTGAGCATTCCCTACTAGCAATCAATGGTAGTTTAAATAAAGAGACTTAACTCAGGCAGCCAACAGACAAACAAAATCCTCAAAGTTCAGAGGCCAGTAACTATTTGTTGTGGTTTAACCCAGGGGGTAACTCAGTACTGCTCAGTCATTCTCACTCACTCTCTACTTCCCAGTGGGATAGGAGAGAGAATCAGAAACAAGTAAGTAGTACTTGTAGGTTGAGATAAAACTATTTACAGAGAGAGAAAAAGAAAAGGATAATAGTTTGGCTATATGTATGTATATATAATATATATATATGAATGTATATACAAAGTGAGGCAAAAGCAATTGCTTACCACCCTCTGACCGCCCAGTGTGCCCCTGAACAGCAGAAGGAAGAGATGAACTCTCAGCCCTTCAAAACTCCTTTCACGTGATGACAGCTTACATCAGCTCTCCTTATTCTGTTCTCTCTCAGCTCCTTGAGCTCTTCACTGAGAATGGTCTTGGCTCTATACAACACTGCTAAACAGCACTTATAAACATTGGTGTATTATCAACACTGGTTTTCTCCTTGAACCAAAAACACAGCATCATACTAGACAGTCTGAAGAAAGTAATTCCATCCCAGCTGAAACTAAGACACAGTTGTATTAAGAGGGGTTAGGAAAAAAAACCAGCTGCTGAATTTGCCCTGTCTAGAGAAAAAATGACAAGATAATAGGCTATGAGTACTTAGGAGTACTTAAGAAAACAAAATTGGAAACTGCTGTGGGAAGACTGTTGGCAGCATAGGGAAAGCAGGTAGAAGTACTCATAGCTCAAAATTAATGAAGGGAAAAATGTAGATTAAATAGTACAAAATGAGTGTACAGGGAAGTAATACAGCTGAAAGGGTCACTGATTTCAAGGCAAATGTTAATCCTGGAGGATTGTAGATCATATCAACCTTCATTGTTTGCAGAGTTTGGAGTAGGTCTTCTTAAGTCTAATACCTATGGGTCAGATCACTCCTTGATATGGCAGTATCTTATGAAGGAGTGCTTCACACTGAGAACCCTGCTTCCAGAGGGGCTGCCCTGTGAAAGCAAGCCAGGAGCTTGGCTACAAACACTGTTGGTTCTTACACTTCTGTAACAGCCTCCAGCTTTTACAAGGGCTTTTCCAGGCAGAAAGAACACGAGAATCCCTTGCTAATGATTGTGTCTGTTGGCTCTGGAGAGGAGCTGATGTAAATAAAACATAATAAATAAGATCTGGAGAGCAGCTAGGTGGAGTACCATTAGTTCAGCTGGAAAAAGTGCCATTGATGAATCAGTGACCTATATAAACAAATAGTTCTCGTCATTTCTAACAGAAGGTTAGATTTTGACTGTGTATTGATCCTTGAATAAAATGAAACAGTAAACTGCTATCCATTCAATCCAGAAAAAAGACCACTGAGGAGGGACTTAGAGGAAAATAAGACCCCAGTCTTTACCTGCTTATTCTCATCCTCCCACCCTCTTACCCAGTAGAATAGGCAAGCAAAGAAATTCTTTGACCTTGTTGTACCTCAAAAGAAGATGCAAAGAAGTGCCCTCGGAATGTAGAACAGGCTCCTACTACGTGACACCACAGTAACAGTCTCGCTCTTAAAGATTAGCCATATTTCTGGTGGGGTTTCAAATGCTTTTTGAGGACAAGCTCTGAAGTTCTTTTTAATGTACCCACTCTGATTTTCAATGCATTCAGTCATTAAAGTAGACTTACTACCTTTGGCATTTCTATTAAAATGTTCAGAAGAGGAACGGTTTCTGAGTGAGTCACTGAGTAGAAAGCACAGGTATCACAGAGGGAGAAGACGATAATTACTTCCAGGCACACCCTCTCGGAAATTGAATAGACTTGATGAAGAACTGGTAAAATTGTAATACAAAGAGCAGCATCACAAGGTAACAAGGCAAAAGAGCAAAATTAACACAATCCCGGCCCTATATATTCAGTTCAGATTCTACATTGTGACAAAAAATTATAACAAAACTAATAGAAAGAGTTCCTGTACACTGTGATACCAGATGGCTCCAAATGCTCCTGAGCAGCAGTGTACACAGCCTGCTTCTACAAGACCATCACAGCTACAAAGGATGTACAGCTGCAACAGTGTGGACAGACTAAGTGCATGAGTAAATGGGATGGTTTCAGCATAAAAATCTCATAATAACACAAGACAAAATGAATTAAACAATGAAAACCCATGATTAAAAATAATCTGCAACAGATAAATAAAACAAATCCATTATGGAAAGCTTTGTTTCATATAGAAAAGTTTTATCAAAGTATTTAAGCAAACATAATCCTGACCATTCTCAGATCTGGTGTGATTTCATTTTTTAGGATCAAAAGTTAGAACCCAGCAGCTAGATAAGAGCCTCAGACACAGTGCATTTATGTTTGGTCCATTGGAGAGGAGAGGGCAAAGGTTGTGCTATATTTGTTGGTCACAGAGCTGGTATATGAGCTGATCAGTCTCAGGCATTCACTGTGCAGACATACGGTGTGTATCATGCCAACTCCCAGGAATCGCTGAGCACATTATCTCCCGTGTTTTCTTGGTACCTAGATAGTCTGATCTTTCCCTGAAGGAACTCTGAAAGGCATGCTCTAGTTCATGAAGGATGGATCTACAGATATAGAACTGTTAGCTTCACACTTCCCCTTTCATGGCTGCCAAGATCCCTTGATGGGACTTAGGAGAGCACGATGGGGCTTTATGGTGACACTTGTGTGGTCCATTCCATTTGCAGGACTGTCTCTGCAAGGTCCAAAAACCAAGTGCCCCAGACTAGAACACTTTATTACAGTAACGCACCTTTAAAGGAAGGATAGATTATAAAAACTTTAACAATAAATTTTAATGAAGTCATGTGCACTGATTATTTATGCTTTAATTATTATGCCTGTCCTCTCTTACTCTCCTGAACTGGTGCTACTTTACTTGCAATAGGGACAATTTTGATGAAGATAAATTAAAGCCTCTGATGCTTAATTTTGCACAGAATGAAATATTTAGTGTGTTAGTTCATATTCTGAAATGGTAACTGGAAATTCTCATACCTAAAAGAATAAAGACTTCATTCAACCAGCAAGAATCAGCCAGAACTGGCTGCAATGATCTGTGGTTTTGACAGGGGCCTTTTTACTGAAGAAAATTACAGTAAATCTCAGATTTCTTGGTGAAATCAGTTCACAATGTACGTTCAGGACAGTGGCATCATCTACTTAATGAGATACGGACTTCTAAAGCACGTGTGATTATTATTATTATTGCTATTATTATTATTATTATTATTATTATTATTATTATTATTATTATTTTGCCTTGTGGGTTCTCCTGCCAGTTAGACCCTGGAAATGGTTATATCTTTTTGTTGTTTGTGGGTTATTTTGATTATCTGAGATGGAATTTACTATACCATTTATAGCATTGCCTCTGAATACATTTTCTATGTGTTCTTATTTTCTCCTTCTCTAAAAGAACTCACTGTAAGAATGCAGGAACAAAAAAAATCCAGGTTGAAGAAACCTTTAATAAAAGAACTGCAAAAGAATGAAAAAGAACTATGGCAAAACAAGCAGGTCATTCTATAAGATTCACTTGCTCAATTTTAATGTATGTCAGAGCAGGATGGCAGGACTCTAATTGGATTTGAAAGCTGTGTGATTCTCCTGTAATAAAAAGCATATTTGCCAGGGCAGCTACAGGAAAACATTATTCCAACTGGGTCTTAAATTTAGGGGACAGCAGAATGAAAGAATGAATAATTCTAGTAAATAACCTTCTATATGACTGTGGTATGTCATGCAACTTAAAATCAAACTCCAAAAAAACCCCAGGATTTATATTAAGTTTGTCTCCTACCAACAACCTCATATTGATTCCTGGGGGAAGCTTTCAGGGAGATTAGCAAAATAATCCTTCCATACTGGGGGTTATGTTTCTCTGCTTAAATGACCATTGCTGGTGATGAAAATGCTAGCAAAAATGACAACAAAAGCAGATATCATTAGAATTCAGAATCTGAGTTCTATCTGGAGTCAGCTTAAATTATCTTTGAATAGAGAGCTATCACATAAACTTCAATCTTTCAGTGAAGAAGTATGAGCAGCATTGTATGTATCACTATTTTTAATGATGTCTTAGCAACACGAAAACACTAATGTTATGTGCTTTTTTTTGTGTGTGTGGTCTGGGAAAAAATGATTGGAAAGTTAGCATTTTAAAGCTTTGTATTTATTTCCTCTTTAATACACTTTGAAACATGCAAAGGAGTTACAAAAACATTGTCTAAATCTTGTGAGGAACATAAAGGTTTTCTCACAACACTTGGTAATGCTGAACTTTTCTTCAACCCCCCTTTCCCCACCCACCAATGACAGATCAAGGAGATTTTTTGTTGTGAAAAAAGACTGCCTCCAGATACATTTCTATCCTTGAAGGACAACGTATGGATAGGAGTTGAACAGAACTGCTACAGTTAAATGTGTAAACAGCACTATTTGACCTGACAACCCTGCTGAATAGAAATATGCATTCACTTTAAAAGGTGCCATACACAAGAAGATTTAAATGAAAATTATTGGCTTGTTATTTTTTTTTTTCTTTATTTTTTTCTTATTCCTGCAGAATAATGCAGGAATAACTCAGTTTTCCTACCTCATACTCCACTATTCTATTTCTGGTTTACTATCAACTTTGGGCACGAAGTCTCATGAATAAAGCAAATGGTCTCTTGAGGGAACCATAGGCAATGTTCTTATTAACCAAATCTATTTTATATTACCGCTGCTATAAAATAAACAACATAGCAAAAACAGCAAAGCCCTGCATTGTGCAGGATGAAATGCCACACTGCTCAGGATGGACCTGAGTCTTTGTGGGAAGTAAATATACCTTGGAGACATTTAGAGTGGGCCGGCACTGATGTGCTCTGAAGTGGTGGGATTTCATCAGGTGAAATTGAAGGAAGAAAATCCTGTTTCATTTCCTTCTCATACAGGAGATCTTACTCCTAGGCTAGAAGGAAGTTCTGCAGAATGTCTACTGCCAATGAAAAAAAACCACTGCACTGCCTGTCAAGTGTGAGTCCTGAGATGCCCACAGTGACACATTTTCCAAGTAAAAAAAAATTACTCTACTTTTGTATCCTGAGGTAAGTTCCTTGACTACAGCATAGTTTCATTCAGGCCAATATGAGAATGGAATCACTGGTCATGGCACTAGAAATAGCAAAGACATTTAGAAATCTTCACACTGCTCACTCCTCACCTACAAGACAGTCTCCATCCCTACATTTTTAATGATAGAATTATTATAGGTAACTTCCATGAAGAACTGGCTTTTTAAAAATACAGGTAGCTGAAAAATATCTTATACAAGTAAGCTTGTAAAATTCAGAATATCTGGTATTTTAGAAAACTGGAGAATGTCAAGAGATTAATAGGAAAACATTGCAGTTAAAATCAAACCAAAGGCACAAGGATGCTAAGTTGAGTGTCGGCAGAGAAGATGAGATGATATTTTAATCCCATGTACCAAGTGCATGATTTTTCAATAGTGTGCAATCAAAAACTTGTACAGTAGTTTTCAGATAAAATTACTCAGAGAAAAGTCTGCTCTTATCCGCATATTATTTCAGAAACGTCCACTTGGTGCATTTTTATGAAGAATGAATCTACATTGAACACTTTTTTGGTTTTAAAACTTTTAGAATTAAGCAAAGAATCATAATTTGAACAATTCACACTTGGCTTATTTTTTCTATCATTTCCCTCTTCGCATTACATGGTGATAAGAGAAATTATCATCCAGCTTATGCATTCCATTGATTTAGCAATTTTATTACTGTGGCACTTTAAAGTCATGGATTTTGGAGTCAGTTTAAAGATAAGAGAAATAGTTCGGAGCTAAGTGTAATTTGTCCAACACTGCCTGTCCTTTGCTTCACTAGCCATTTAATTAGTATTATAATAAGAAAGAACACAACGTTAAGAAAATCACAAGGATATATGATAGTTTCTCTGACGGAACATATTTAAGATGATGCCTTTGAGCAAAGACATGGAAACGAACTCATTGCAAAATTTGGTAGAGAAAAAAAGTTAGTTTTTTCATTGTTGCCAGGTTCTTTTGCCGGGAGGGAGGAGGGGACTGGAAGGGTTCTTCAAAACCATTAAAATGCAAAGTGACAAATGGTGCTGAATAATTGCCTCATTCTAAAAATGGCTTTGGCTTAGATTATAATTGTTTGTAAATAAGAATTCAGTAAAGAATAAAGTACTTCCTAATTTTTATTTTATTTATTTATTAAGTAATAGAAGATGTGGTGCTTCACTGAGTGAAATTAGAAACAGAGTGTGGAGAAATAAGCTTCGAGTCACAAATCCTACCTGCCACAAACTTTCATTGTGTCAGATCATTTTCATGAGTCTACTTAGAGATAGAGCTGGTTGATAACAAATGGACTTAGGCGTATGCTAGCAGAAGAGAGAGAGAGAGAGAATTCTGTAGATCCAAGTAAAAATGCCTCTTTCTTAAGATTAGATATTATTATTAATTAAACTCAAGGTTTTCAGCTTTCATTTGGGATGTTCTGTAATTAAGGATAATGTTGCAGGGCCCCTGATCAAAATCTTCATCAAAACATGAGATGCAGGTCCTACATTAGCTATGTGTTCCCTTAAGCAGCATTTTGCAACTCTGTAGTATCAAGTGTTATTGCTGCTATTAGCATTGTGCTCTTTGAAGAAAAAAGTGTTTCTTTGATTATTAGATTTGTCTGGAACTAGAAGTAAAAGCAAGGTCTGGAAACAGAGCGGAACCAAATTTTGGCCCCAGCTGGATCCGTATTTGTTCTTCACAAGAACAGAAAAAGAGCTAATGGTATGATCATAGTCTGCCAATTAAATCTAGCATTTCTTCAGTTAGGTGCAATATACTATCCTTATGTGGTAGAATCTGCACAGATGTGCACAATTCAGGAGACAATACAGGACTGAGCTCCAAATAAAGATTATGATGCAGTTATTCACAGTTAAAATATATACAAAATTATTATTTTGCCAAGATGTCAAAAACTTGCCCTTATTGTTACCTGTGTGCTATAGTGATAATTTATGATGCTGCAGTGTTCTGGTTTCACTGGCACTGGACTAGATATTTCATAGCTTGTTGAACACAGTGAAAATTCATCAGTTTCTCCTTGGTCAAATATGATGATACATACAGAGTTGTTCAGTGCTATCTGCCATTCAGTAGTGCTAGATGAGTAGCGCTGTTACTGTGGAAAAAAAATAAAATATAAGTAAAAAACAAAATTTACCAGAAATAAAAAAATACATTTGACTGAATATCATTAAATTCAGACATGAAAAAATAGCTCCCAGAGACAAAAGACATTCAAGCAACGTATACTTCCATTTTATCACTCTGTCCCCTTTTCTGAAACATCCTATGCTTTATTTCACTGATCTGTTCTACTGTTCAACCAATATAGGGTTCAAAATTTGTCTCCCACTGTGAATAATGAACCCTTGCATAGTCCAGGACATCTTTATATACAAAAAACGCTTTAACAAAGCATTTGCTGTTAATAAGGCCAAAGGGGCATCTCTGCCACCTAAAAAACACAGAGCAGATTTAGCAAGGAGATTCAAAAAAGTAAGAAAAGCAGGTGAAAATGTAGTGTAGTGTTTAAAAAAAGAGCCTTGCAACTCACTGAAAAATAAAAGATTACTTCTATCTTGGAAGTTTGAGAGATGAAGTATCCAGGTAACCCATGCTTCATTGGCACTGTTTAACTTTCTGACACAGTTTTAACTTTTGTTTAATTATTTATTCATTTATTTTCCAGATAAAGTAGTTATCAGAGTAATGGCCATGGAATTCAAATAATGAGCCCTCTATCAATGAGGTTGGAATAAACTCAAAGACGAGGAGCATAGTCTACCGCAGTTTAATGAAACTTTATTTTGTTGCAATCCAATTTATATTTTTTTATTTTATCTTGGATTTTCTTTTTATTTACCGAGTATTATTAACAGTATAAATACTGTCTCCCAGAAACCAAACTGCACTGTCCAGAACTTTTAGAAGTGGTTGTTATAGCATATATTAAAATATATTATACTGTTAATTTCCATCTGCATTAGGCATCAGAAAAAAATGACACATGATATTATGTAATACAGTATAATATAGTGGCACGTTAGCTTAGAAGAGTTATTCTTCCCTTTCTCATCTTCAATTTTGTTGATATACCAGCATTCTTCTACATTTAAACTGTTAAGCAATTCTTCTTTTAAAAAGCTTACTGTAATCAACATAATGCCTGTTTTGACATCTTCTTTGCACACCTTTTTAATGTCTTCATACTGTCCCATTTCCTTAATACTTTCAGTAACACAAAATACCTATAAGTGCAACTGAGCAGTCTGAATGAATTTGTTGAATGAGAGAATATGCAAATGGATCCAAATCCATGAAGCTACAGCCAAATAGACAGGAGACCACCCATAAGTATCTGTGTGTTGGTAAGGAAAAATCTATTACAAAAGAATTCTTTTGCCCATTTCCTTTATTTTCAAGGAAATAGTGTATCTACATCAACAGAAAATCAGCACATTTCACAGCCATTATGCACACTGGCAGCACAGCCATATCAAAAAGAACTCGCAGCATAGACAACCTCTACATCCTAGTAAGAGAGTTCAAATACAGGCTGTAGTGCTATCTAGCTCCTCCAGGACGTAAGCTAAACTGTCTTGAAAGCCAGGGAGTAAGCTAAGGATAACACTGAAACTAGGACATATATAACCCACTTAAAAGTAAATTTTGCATTTTGAAGAGTTCAGAGATAGTTAACCATTTTGAAATAGAACAAAAGGCTGAACTCACTTTGTACACTTCATAGAAGCTACAGAGCATCATCCAGAGTGGAACCAAGTGCCTTCAGCTGCAGAAGGAAATGAGAGTTGCAGAAGGAAATGAGAGCTTGCAGTGCTGAATGATATTTATTAATATATAGCTTGCTGGATTTGAGCTTTAAAAATTGACTTGCAGTTTTGGCTTGTCAAAGTAGGTGTTCCAGTTGTTTTTATTAAATGGAAACTATTTGTGCAGGAGGTGTGCGGAGATAATTTGCTTCTGTGAATCACATAAAGATGTCGCCCTGAAAGCACATGTAATCCAATTTTTTAGTAGTTTCACTAACAAGAATAGCAACACCTTCTCCATCTTTCCACTTTCTAAGACTAGTAAACCTTACACATTTATTTTGAACTTCCAGGTCATCTAATTCAAGTCTCACAAATAAAGCACAAAGAACACCTAGGTATTATAAAGATGCCAATCAGTGAAGTAGGATTGCATGTAAACATGGTTTTTGTTTGTTTGTTTGTTTGTTTTTGTTTTGTCCTAGCATACTGTAGTAGAATTTGATTAGGATAATGAGATTTACAAGGAATTGTCCATCATAACTTGTGGTAGAAAAGCTATGAAATCTATTTAATCCAATTTTTGTCATGTGAGTTCATATAAAGCAATAGTCAAAATTACTTTCTTGTGAAATGAAAGAGAAAGAAGACAGTTTATTTTGTGATAACTCACATATTAAGTAGCAGGCATTCTAGAAACAGCTAGTATATTAGTTCTTCCTACACTATTATGCAAGGTGGAAAGACTGAATGCATGCCACTGTGCATGTATATATGCATCCGTTTTCCAGTGGTACTGTGTTAAAAATGCCAAGACACACAGTCAGAAATGACCTTTTTTGTTTTTATGGACAATACTGATCCTTGTGCAAGTCCTCTTAATTGTGATGTCCCAACAGCAGGGAGAAACTAAGTGGTACTGATTTCCACTGATTTAAATTTCACTTAATTAAACTGAAGGGCAGAATAACAGGGCCTTCATACCTCACTGCCTTTTCAAGTACATGCTGAAAGCAACCCCAAGGTACATTTAATAGGCCGAGATATGTGTACTGCAGGACAATAAACTTCACAGATCAAAACTGGAAGAAAATTTTGAATTATATCCTGCCAATGAAACTGTCTTGCTTCCTAATACAAAAATAGCTACAGAGGGTTTTCTCAAACCTCAGCTCATCTCAGTTACAAGGGTAGAGCATGACAAGAGATGAAGATTTGAAAGGTCTAGAGAAGAGACTGAAACTAGGAACTTGCACTGAATATAGAAACAGCACATAAAATCTAATGTGTTAATATACTCTGTAGCTCCAATGCTGAATCAATCCTTTCAGTGCTGAACTGAAAATTGAAAATGAACTTCAAAATATGGTCAGTGCAACTTAATCTAGGAACAAGAAGGCAGGGATAACTATTGTGAGGGATTTGGACAGAAAAGGGCACAAGCTCTTCGGCAACTGGAGATGGAAAAGTGATTTTGTCCACAGTCTGGACATCTAAAAGCAGGTGAATATCCAATAAGACACTTTGACTATGATCTTTGTTAAGAAAATGGTATGCTGTTCGCTCAGATAGTTTTTCCATTAAAGACAGAAACAACTTATTAATTATTTACCCAGTTATTTCAATTCATAGCTATTGTATACCCAGATTCTTATATATATACCTCTTACCAAAGAATCCAAAGCAAATCAGATTTTAACACTAGTATTTGATGATATTTCACTGTAAACTTAAGTACCCTTTATGCCCCCAAAATGTCATTCACCATTAGCTGCAGGAAATACTGGAGTTATACCAAAGACCTGTCCCAGAGACATTTTCAAACGGGTAGTAAAGCATTTGTTCTGTAAATCTTTTCCATGAAGCTGCAGAAAGTCAAGTACAAGATCAAGACAGATCTGTGGAGGACTGCAGTGTGCTCTCACTGAAAGTTCCATAGGAATAAAATCCTTTTCTTTTTAGAATAAAATTTTACAGACTGTCAGAATCTAGAAGGACGTATTTTCTAATTTTGACAGTTTCTTAAATAAGATCTTAAGCTACCACTGTCCTTTCTAGTGCTTAAAAATCCTAGTGTATTTATTCCAGTAGCTAATCTAACCTGACTATCTTTCACTTCAATTTAATCAGAAAGAAATAACTCAAATGTATACATGAAAAAAATTCAGGTGTTAAAATTTGTTTAAGTTCTTCTATAGAGAACAATATAAAAAATGCCTCCTCTTCCTAGTTATAAAGGTATCCGATCTAAAAATAAAATCTCCCTTCTGCACAGTGCCCATACCCACCCTCATTGCACTGAAACTTGCGTTCAGTTAGTGGTGCCTCATAAGCATTTATTATTAGATATGGCACCTTGTGAAAAACATTAGAGGGATTACTCAATGCCCTAAGCAGTATATCTGGTAATACATAGTACCGAATTTGCAAAATAAAACTACAGTTAGTACTCCTCAGTGGAAATGATAGCAGATTTTTCAGTGAAAGGGTATTTTTTTGTGTGTAAGAACGTTACTTACCTGAAGCTGGCATCCCTTCATGGCAACAGTAGCACACTGTCAGGGTGATGCTACAGAAGCACTGAGTGCAGCAGCAGAGCATCTTCCTAGCACTGCCTGCTAGGGAGCCCAAGGAGGTGCTTGCTCATCACTCTAACAAGTTCCTCAACAGCAGAACTGAAAGTAGAACTCAAAGCAAATGGGAACTGCTGGTAGTGGCTGTGAATGAGCAGAGTTCATCTGCAAGAACTTTGGTTATATTATCTGTAGACAAAGTTTATTCCTCTTATAAACAGGCTTTCTGTCTTCAGTCCAACATGTAGTCCTTTTCATCTTGCACAGTGTTTTTTCTAAGAAAATATAATAAAAAATGAGTTAAATGCAGGATAAAAATGCTAGATTTCAAGTTTATACAAAATGCAAAGATGCATTTAAACCAAAAATGGAAGTTGGTTGGTTTTTTTTTTTTTTTTTTTCTTTGTTTTTAATGTCTGACACAGCACTTACAGAATAGGAACAGAAATCCTTCCAGGGAATAACAACTGTGACAATGCATGAGGAAAAGCACTGATAATTCCCCGCAGTAAACACACTGAGGAAGACATTGATTTCCAGATCTTAGTAAATTCCTGTATATTTATTAACATATTTTTCAATACAGAATTCAATACACTTAGAAAAGGCCCAATATGAGGGAAAGCATTTACTCTTACTAAAAGGCACAGAATTATCTAAACTGAGGACAAGTTTGCAAATTACTTCAGTAAAAGGTCTTTTGCCGAGAACTGTAGTTTCTGTTCATTGGGTAATACTGATAAACACAACTACTGAAAAATGTAGGCAATTTAATTCATTATAATAATGTAGAGAAATTTCTTGTTCATCCTGTAACTCAGTGGATGTCTGCACTGTACAGGTTTTCTGAAAAAATATGTTTTCAAAAACCCCTTCAGCCTGTAGAGTAAAAACTTTAAAGTTCAGTACCTTTGAGCAAGAAAGAAAAGTAAAGTCATGTCTGAGTCTGTTGGCATGTTATGAGTGGTACAAAACCTCTAATGAAAACGTGGTATTCTCTTAAGTAAATTTTCTTCTTCCTGTCACACAGATAACTCTCTAAGTCTATACTTCTTCCCTGCCTTACCTTACAATGTTAAGCAATGTTAAGTGTTACAACAACTCAATCTGTATTCACCACCAGCAATAATGTAAAAGGGCATGATTTTTTACTTTTATTAAAAAAAGCCTTGTGAATCTGAGCAGATGAATTAAATGCTCTTATGAACTGCTGCATTAGTGAGATCCATCCTTGTAAATTATGATGGCCACAGCTTACTGCCAAATGTCACTTCCATATTTTCAAAATTTGTTCTGTATTTTCTCTCTCTGTCTTGTAGTCACACATAAATATGTACATATTCATATCTATTCATATATTCATAATAAGAGAGAGACAGTACTATTCCTATTTTCAGTGTCTATTTTCAAATGGGTTTGAACTATCTAACACAAAATGTCTTTTGTCTGATACAGTAATAATTGCATCTGCCAACTGAATAAGAAATGACAGTATTAGTATAAAACCATCTTGGATGCAGTTTCAAAATCTGAAATTAAAAACAAACCAATAAACAAACTCAATGCCATTCCATAATATACAGCTTTGGTACATCAGGAGTATTTTCTCTCTTGATGGAGGATACTTAGAAACACAAAAAACTTTTCTTTACTCCACACTGTTTATTTGAGAGGGCCATATTTACTGAGATAAGTACAGAATGGCAGAGCAGGGAAAAATAAGAAATGAACAGAAGTAGTCATATTTTCAGAAGTTGTGAAAGCTTTAACAGACACTTCACAGAATTGCCCCCACACATCCTGGCCTCTCCCTAAAAACCAGAGCAGCAGACCTTGAGCTTAATTTTCCTTTAAAGGAGCCTTGTAATACAGCTTCTTTCATTCAGCTCTTGAACCGTGTATTCCTGAAAGGCCACGAGGGAAATGCAGGGAAGAAAAAAGAATCATTCCTCTCCTCCTTCCGAAACAGATAGTGGCAGGACCCTTTCAGGTTCCAGAAATACCAGACACGCAGATAATGCTGGGATGTTACAGAAGGCAAGCAAAATGAGAAAAGGAAAGGGAAAAAAAAAACAACCCAAATCAGCTCTGTCTGTTAGAGTCATCTCAAGAGCTTCTTATAACAAGAGAAGACACAACATTTTCAGATGGAAATGTGATTTTCAAGTTGACAGTACAACTTTAATTAGATGGGAGTCCAAGGAAGAACATATCACTGCGAAATAAATAGGCTATAAAGGAAGAAAACCACCAGTGGGGATAACCATGGAAATTAAAGGAGATGAAAGGAAAGAGCAAAGGCGATATGAAACATCTATTACAAAAAGTCAAGGTCAGTGCTACATGTGGAGGTACAGACAGGTAAATTGATAGAGATTACGGAAATGATCAAGGAAGCAAAGTTCAAACATAAAGGAAATGGGCATTCTCACTCATGTGCATTCTGCCTGACCTGCAAAAATAGATTATTTTTTTTGTCTTGAAATATTGTACCTGAAAAAAAATTACACTGAGATATACTGCAGGATTTAGTGAATAAATAAAAACAAAAATGCAGGCAGATACAGAAAGCAATTTTAAAAGCATTTTTAAACGAAGTTGTAGACTCTTTGCCCCCTTTCTTAAAGAATTGCACTAAAAAAACGAACACTTAAGAAGCTCCTAATTGGGAGCTAGCAATTCTCCATGTGTGGGTCCATATCTGAATATTTCTGCCATCTTTCTCAAAAGCAAATTTATGGAAAAATTATTTCAGAATTAAGGTAAAATGGAAGCAGTCACCATGGTTGTATGGGAACTGCTGAGTCACGGCCTGAACCTCTGATTGATCACCT